AGGCAAAAAAATGTTCCCACCGCGGCCACCGCCACTCCCGCGCGTCCGCCGGCCTCGATAGTATTGGGAACGTCCCAGGACGCTGCGCCCAGTGTCCGCTGGGCGGTGGCCACTGCTGGTGTCCCGGGGCTGTGACTGTCCCATCCCGCTCTTCCCAGCCTCACCTCCGGGCTCGGAGGTCTGGGGTCCCGCGGGAAGGTGGGAGTCACCCATGCCCCTCGCCCTCCTTCCCCGGCGGGTGGGGTCGTCACCTCGGCGTCCCTGCGCTTAGCCGCCTCCTCCGGGAGCTGTCGCGGTCGCTGACGCCCCGGCCCAGGCCACGCGCCCGCGGGCCAAGAGGACGCGCCCCTCTCGGGAGGCGCGGGGGCGTGTGCGCGTGCCTCTGCGCGTGGGTCCCTTCGTGCTCAGTTCCCAAGCCCTGAAAATGTGCGCAGTTTAACCTCAAACTGGGGAAAGCACCAAGGTGATCGCTGAGCAGGATTTGGAAAAGGCTCTCCCAGAAAGTTGCCGGAGCTGGAGGACCCAACTAAACCTCAGGGTTCACCTGGATGGTGGCTTCTTTGCCCCTCCGGAATGGGGCTCCAAATAACACGAAGAACCACCTTCCTCACCCCGCCCCCAGATTTTAAGTGTTTTTGAGCTTTTTTTTTTTTTTCTTGACATCAGCTATTGCTTTATTTTAAAATTTTTTGATTAATTTATTTTCCTCTTCTCTAAAATTTATTTTATCTATTTCTTGTCTTCTGTTTCCATTTATTGTTTTTTTTAACCTTGCTAAGTTCATGTTCATTCATCTCTATTAGTGCAAGTACAAAAAGCTATGAATTTCCTTCTGAATACTGCTTTAACTGTTCACCTTAGGTTCTAATGTGCATAATTTGAGTTTTCCTAGATATTCTGAAATTTGAACTTGATTTCCTCTGTGACATTAGAGTAATTAGTTTAAAATTTTGCAGGTAGTTAGGTCTTTCTGTGTTCTCGCTGTGTTATGAATTTCTGGTTTTATCTGCATTATGATTGAAGAATGTTGTCTATTCTGAATCTACTTTTTGAAATTCTCATTTAAAAATTTTAAGAAATATTTTTATTTTTTGTTTATTATTAGTAGTATTTTTGGTACCTGGTATCAAACTCAGTACCTTGCACTTGTGAGGCAGGTGTGGCACCACTGAGCTAAATCCCTGGCCCTGTTTTGTTTATTTTTGAAACAGGATCTTACTTTGTAGCCCAGGCTGGCTGGAACTATTTTCAATCTTCTTGCCTCAGCCTCCCTGAAGTTGGGATTACAGGCTTGGGACACCACGCTCGGCTGTGGCATAGTTTAACATATGGTCCATCCCTAATAATATTCAGTTGTTCATCACAAAGATGTTATTTATTTTTAGGTTAGAGAGTTTGATATAAATTAATTAAACTCAGCCTTTGAGAGGTGAAGTAAAATTTCCTACTGCTCATTTGTTTTCTTTCTCTTTGAGTTTCTTTTGCTGTAATCAACTGTGCTACATGGCACATAAATTTTTCTCTTTTTTTTTTTTTTTTTTTTTTTTTTTTTTATGGTTTTTTGACAAGGTCTCACTATGTAGTTGAGACTGACCAGGAACTCACTATGTAGCACAGGCTGGTCTTGAATTTACAGCGATCCTCCTGCCTCAGCCTTCCCAGTGCTGGGATTAAAGGCGTGAGCCACCACGCCCGGCTTGCTATTTATTACTTAATAGAAGAGTTACGACTTCATCATGCCTTGATTCAATTTTATTTTTGTAAAGTATTCATCTTGTCCTTACATGTCGTTGTAAGGACTCGTGTTGTTTACCTATTTCCCATTCCTCCTCCCTTTACCTCTTTCCTTCCCAGTCTTCCTGCTTGGGAGTCTCTTGCACCTCCAGCTTCCAGTTGCTTGGGAACCATCTGGCCCCTGTTTCCCTTTAGAGCTTCGTTCACTGGTCTGCAGTGTGGACGCAAAGCGTCTGCTTTAGTGCTGGGGAGGTCGTCTTCCTATTTTCATAGGTCTTAGAATATTTGTTTAAACTGGGTACATGTATTTCTTCTGATACTTTGGAAATTTTTCATTTTGGTCATCGTGGTTACCTTTGTAATTTTATATTTACTCTTCACCCTTTATTTCTCTAGAGTCTCCACTGACACCCAACTATGAGTCATCATAGCACCTTTGTGTTCGTGTCATGCCTCTCTTCCCTCCCTTCCCTCCAGCACCCTTACACAATTTTAAAAATTTAATTTAATTTATTTATTTTTGAGACAGGGTTTTGCTATGCAATTGAGCCTGGCTTTGAACTCACTATGTAGCCCAGGCTGGTCTTGAACTCACAGTAATCCTGCACCTCAGCCTCCCGAGTGCTGGTATTATAGGCTTGTGCCAGGATGACCAGCTCACAATTGAATTTTATTTTTTTATTTTTGGTACCAGGGATCAAACTTGGGCCCTTGTTGCTTGCGAGGCAGTCGGCGGAACCACTGAGCCAAACCCCAGCCACAATTAAATTTTAAATGAAAGCATCAGGATATAATACATTAATTTCACATCACACATCATGTACAGATAACTATGTCCTTGGGCCTAACACATACTCTGCTTTAAGATGATCCCATGGCAGCCGTGACAGCTGTGAGGACGAAAGGCAATGTCTGTTCTGTGCAGCGGTCCCTACAGAGGTCTAGCAGTGGTACTCCGTGAGGTGGAATTCAGACACAGTGATTTTCTTCCCTCTGGACCCCATGTTCCTGCCTGGGCTGCGCACCTGCCCTCGGGGTCCTACCCTTCCTCAGGACTCAGGGGCGGTGCCCGGTATCTTTGCCAGAGAGCCTGGCTGTGTCTCAGTGGGAACCCCCTGTGTGGGTGGCTGGAGCTGTGTCACCCAGGGTGTCAGGCACCCTGGCCACTGTGTCCCCACTGATGATGTTAGGTCTGTCCTTCCAGTTCCTCTTTCTCCAGCCTCTTGAGTCTGGTCATGGTGACTGTCTTAGTTGCTTTCCTCATGGCTGAGGGCATGGTACTTACCCACAATAAAGGAGGTCAGGTTTATTTTGGCTCACAGGGTGTACAGGCTTCAGTCCACAGTCAGCTGGCTCCAGGGCAGGGGAGCTTGGCAGCAGAGAAGCAGAGAGAGGGATCGAGGGAGCAGGGAAGGAGATAGAGCCCTCTGGGTCATGCCTCCAGTGACCACCTCCTCCTCCCAACATCACATTTTAGCTATAAACTCATTGGTGGAGTAATCTACTGATGAATAGCACGCCCCTGTGTCCCAGTCACCTCCCAAAAGCCCCACCTAGGAGCACATGAGGCTTAAGGGAACATCTAGATATAAAGCATAACGTACTGCCCCTGGCCTCCGAATGACTCATGCACATCTCTATGCAAACTGCATCTTAGTCCATCTCTAAGAGTTGCCCAAGTCCTAGCAATTCCAGCATTGCTGAGAAGCCCAAGTCCAAAGTCTTCTCTGAGATGTAAGGCAAACACTTAGCTGTGTGAACCCCCATACAAATGAAAAGAAAGTTAAATGCTGTACAGCCGACATACAAAGGCACGGGTAAACATTCCCACTCAAAAAGGGAGAAACAACCAGGATACATCATGTAAAGGTATAAGATCCCAATGATAAATCTAACTGTATTGTTCATTTAAAATGTATCAATAAACTTAATAGAAAAAAAAAGGCGGGGGGAGAAACAGAAGGACAAAAGGAATGGAATCAAAGCAAGACTGAAATCCAGCAGGACAAACATTAAGTCCTGTAGTTCCATGCCCAGCACTGGGCGCAGGCTGTGGCAAGAAGTGAATCTACACTGTTTGGGCAGCCCGGTCTTACAGCAGTGCAGGTGGTTGTACCCCTCATGGCCTCTCTCTTGGCTGGCTCTGTTCACTCCTTGTGGTTTAAACATTCCACATTCCTTTTTGTTTTTTCCTTTGGACTGGGAATTGAACTCAGGACCCTCAAGACCTTGGGCTTATGAGGCAGGCAGTGGCAATACCGAGCTAAATCTCCTGCCCCCACATTCCTGACTTCTGCAGCATCCTGGGTCTCCAGGCACTGCCCTCACAGCTCCCCATGCTGCCTTCTCAGGCACACTGGTTGTCCTCCCAAGCTGACTTCTGCATCCTCGGTGCAAGCCTGCCTGAGCCCACTCCTGGTACCAAAGCTTTTTTTACATACTTCCTCATTGCTGAGCCATGCCACCTGACACCCCCAACTTCTAAGGAAGAGAGGTTTATTTTGGTTCAGTGTGTGGAGGTTTCGGTCCAGAGTTGACTGGCTCCAGGGCAGGGCATCATGGCAGAGGGGCAGCAGCTCATGGAACAGTGGCAAAAGCAGAGAGAGGGACTGAGGAGAGCGAGAAATAGATACTTCCAGGCCACGCCCCCAGTGACCGACTTCCACAAACCAGGATGTCTCATTTGGCTGTGAGCTCATCGGTGGCCCTAACCCACTGATAAGCATCAGGTCTTCTTGATCCAATTCCTCCCTAAAGCTCCACCTCTGAGTACTTGAGGCTCCAGGAAGCTGTCTAGGTGATACCAGCCATAACAGTGACACTCAAAAGTAAGTCATGGTTGATGACATTTCTAAGGCTTTCTGGAAATCCCTCCCACCTTTGTCCCAGAAGGACACATTGTTCCCTCCTGCCAACAGCCCTGGGATTATTACACCCAGCCTCATGATCCTCCTTCAGCCAGGTCCCCCCGTGAGGCCCGCACCCTGTGCACCCTCGCTGCTGCCTCTCTTCCCCTCCATGCTGTCCTCCAGCTTTGTTCTTCTGGACCCCACCTGTTCCCTGTGGCCTTGGCCTGACCTGAACATCACCTCTTTGGGAGCCCATCCTATGATTCAATCACCATGGTAACTGGCCACAGTACCCTGCTGGCAGCTCAGGCTCTCCCTCCTGGTTCCTGGCTCTGCCTCTTCTCTGCCTGTGGGGCTGAGGTAGCACAAGCACAGGGCTTTCCGGAAAGAGCTCTGGAGCTTCACAGTGACAACACTTCCCACCTATAAGGTCAAAAGAGGTCCCAGACTGATCACTGTGAATGTCCTCAGGGTCTCTGTCCCATCTTCTTCAGGGTTCGGTTAAGCTCTTCAAACTTGTGGATCTGACGGATGAAGAAATCCCTGTAGCGCTTGGAGACTTTGGGGTCTGCAATGTGGATCATGTCCTTATCAATGTAGAAGTCAACCTCCGAGGCAGACTGGAACTCGCCATCCAGGGCAGAGATACCACTGGTCCACACCAGGTTCTTCATCTTTGTGCTTGAAGACAAGGAGCTGGATGCGGAACTCCTGCTCGGTGAGGTCCAGGAAGCCAGCCAGCTTGGCCACGGGCATGGTGGTGTAGAGCTTGAGGAAGCTGCGGATGGTGGAGAGCTGGGCCTGCTGCTGCTCCTCATCAGAGAACACCTTAAACTGCTGCAGGAAGGGCTTTTTGTGGTAGTTGGGGTGCACATTGTCGTAGTTGGGCACCACAGGCAACAGGAACTTGAGGCAGGAATAGCTGAAGAGCTCCTTGTAGACCTGCGGGTCACCTTTCTGCATGCACAGCATCTTGTCACCATACTTCTCCCGCAGCTCTCATCGATCCTCCTAGGGTACATGGTGAGGGAGATGGCCAGCAGTGCATGCATCTGCTCATTCAGGGCTGCACTGCCCTGCAGTCTCCATGGTTGTGGAATGCAGACATGGCTGGGTGTGATGGTGCACACCTATAATTCCAGCACTTGGGAGGCTGAGGCAGGAGGATTGCCTTGAGTTTGAAGCCAGCTTGCACTACAGAGCAAGCAGCCTATGGACCACCTGCAGGCCACTTAGCAGCCTGGGAGCTGAGTGCCTGTGAACCTGTAGCGCCTTGAAACTCACCTCGCACAGCTCGTATGGAGACCTTTATAGGCAGAGGTGAGACAGGCCCGGTTTTTTGTACTTCATTTTATAATTTTAAAATTTTATTAGTACACGTTTGCAGTTCATGCAGTTTGCAGCCGTCCGGGGAGTGATTACACGTACACACACAGCTTGTTTCTGCTGTCACTCTCCTTTCTCTTCTGCCCCTATGACTCAGGGAAGCGGAGTCATGTAGGATGTGTGATCTTTGGGTCTGGCCTTTTCCTCTTCATCTGTTTATGGGTGACTGTATCAGTGACACTCGCACCCCTCCCTTTCCCAGCCAGGCACGTAGCCGGTGGGTGGGGAAATTAACATCTGGGCTGCCAGAAGTTAGCCTGCAAGGGTTTTATTTTTATTTATTTAGGAACTGGGATCAAATGCGGATCCCTGCACTTGTGAGGCAGGCAGAGGCACCACTAAGCCAAATCCCCCGCCCTTGGCAAGGGTTTTAATGCCAGGGTTTTGATGCAACTTGCATCAACAGACACGGAGCGTTGGAAACACGGTCAGACATTGCCCTGGAGCTGAGTGTCACTGACGCCTTCTGGTTGGGTTATAAATGCCGCTGGCAATGTCCTGAAGTCACCTTGGGCTGCGGGCTCCTGCCTCACACCTGCCATGACCCTGTGCTCCCTGCTGCACGCCAGTAGCTGCCCACTCCCGGTGCCCAGGATGAGAGACTGGAAAGAGGCCCCTGGCTTGGTCTTCCAGCAAGACAATATCGCCTGTCCCCTCCAAGCCCCCATAGAAGTTTCCGGGCCACATTGTTACCCAAAGACCGTGAGGCACAGGTCCCTCGTGTACCGTGGGCTGTGGTAGCCCCCGGAGGGAAGGGCTGTTCTGCTGTCTCCAGCACCACTGCACAGATGGCAAGGGGGATGGGGTGGGCGTGCTACTGTGTGCTTGGAGCTGGGTCCAAGGAGGACCGTGCCAACCCCAGGGAGCATGTCCCAGCTGGGGCAGCCCAGGGGCAGCCTGAGCAAAGGCTTGGCCATGCAGGAGACGGGGCCAAGGGGGCAGTCGATGCCTCCCTGTGACTGAATGGAGGTGTGGCAGCTGCAGGGGCTTTTGAGGCCTGGCCTGAATGGGCCACATAAGCTGGGTGCCTGAATCAGCCCAAGGGGATCCCAGGTATGCTAGTCGTGCACTTGGTTCTTATCTCCTAGAGCAAGCCATTTCTGCGTGCCACCTTGTAGGAGCTCAACCCCGGTCTCCTGGCAGGGCCTCAGCCTCCCCTGGCTCCCATAATGACACTTTGCTAGTTCTCTTCCTTCCTCTCTCTCTCTCCCTGAGCCACGGTCTCGCCATGCTCGCCAGGCTGTCCTTTCACGGGAAACCCTCTGGTCCCGGCCGGAGTTACAGGTGTGGGCTCCACACCCGGCCCCTCGTGCCCTGCCCAGGCCTGCCCAGGAGGACGCGGCCCTTGTGCCCTTTGCCGGGTCCCCCGTCTCAGGACAGGAGCTTTCTGGTGCTTTTCCCTCGAGGCCCTGTTGGGCACTTCGGTCCGAGATCAGGCCAGGGTCGAGAACCCTTGGGGGCACTGAGCAGGGCTGTCCCCGTGGGCCCAGGGCCTAGGGAGCACCGCATGCGCAGTGACGTGAAAGCGTGAATTTGCGGTGTGAGGTCAGAGCATGACGTCAGAGCGTGAATCGGAGTGTGAGGTCGGGGCGTGACATCAGAGCATGACCCTGGAGCGTGACCAGGGTAGGGGCCTGTTGTCCCCCTGTTTCCGGGGTGCAGGACACTGCGGCTGGCAGAAAAGTGGTTAAAATAACTTCAAAAGCCATTTTCTCCACCCCATAAGTCACAAGCAGAGGTGCTGGCCTCTGATTTCTTTCATTTTTTTTGACAATCAATCAGTAAGACCTTTATTAACAGGTGCTTGTAGTTTGTTGACTTTTTTTGAAAAAATCAAGTTGTGAGCTTTTTTTTTTTGGTACTGGGGATCGAACTCGGAACCTTGCACTTGCGAAGCAGGTGGTGGAACCACTGAGCTAAATACCTGGCCCAGTTGTGAACTTTTACTACAAATTAAAAATGAAGTTCTTAAAGATCTCAATTTGAGCCGAGTGTGGTGGAGCATGCCTACAATCCCAGCACTCGGGAGGTTGAGGCAGGAGGATCACTGTGAGTTCGAGACCAACCTGGGCTACATAGTTCCAGTTCAGTCTCAACTACATAGTGTGACTCTGTCTTAAAAACAAACAAAACAAAACAAAACCCTCAACTTGACCAGATATGAAACAATGTAAAAACCTTTGAAAGTGTATTGAGTGAAACCAGGCTTTAAAAAGACAAACAAGCAAAGAAACTCGTTTGTCGTTACCAAAAACAGAGGTCTCCTCGGGCCGCTGCGGTCTCCGCCCTCTTGCACGCCCGGGCTCTGGGGCTGCCGAGGCTGCCGCTGGCCATGCTGTCATCGCCCAACTCTCCGTCCTCTCCGCTGCCCGCCTCTCCGGGCTCTTTGGATTCCACCTGTCCTGCGCCTGGCTGGCAGCGTCACCACCCTCGCTGCACCGCAAGGTCTCCACAAGCAGGGAGGTGCGGCCTGGGCTGGGCCCTGGTTCTCCTCCCCAGACTCACCCCTCCGTCTCTCTGCGGGTAACTGCGAGGGGGTGACCGCGTGAGGGTGACTGACTCGTGCAGGAGCCCTAGGCCGCGGACAGCGTCTGCGAGGGTCACTGTCAGCTGCGTGCCCGGTGCCGGTGCCTGGGACCTTTGCGGCCTCTGCACCCTTTCCCTGTCCACAGCGTCGGCCTCGGCCTCTCCATCTCCTGCCATGCGGAGGATCCTGCTGGGGTTGTTCACGGCAGTCTGCGTCTCCCTGCGTGTCGTTCCGGTTGGCGAAGCCTTACCCGTTTCTTGCGTTGAACCATTTTGCTGTCCCCACAACCTTCCCCCACGCCCCCGTGATGCTGTTGTTGTCCCTGCCGGCAGGCGGCAGAGGGGAGGCTGCCCGTGGTGCCGCGCCAGGCCTCGCTGCTCCGGGTTGCGGGATGGTGACCAGGTTGGCGGTGGCGGTGGTGGCTGTGGCGGTGGCGGTGCTCAGGGCTCTCTGGGGTCCGCTCTCTGCTCCCCGCTCCAGATCAAACTCTTGCCTCCTGTTTCTGGCCTTCGGGGGGCCTTCTAGTCCCAGGCCATCGTGGTGGGAGGGACGGTGGGGCCTCCTGGTGCCCACACCTCCGTCCCCAGGGTCGTCCCCACTTTTCTGGGCCAGGAGAGCCTGGGGCAGGGCGGGGCCACGAGCAGGGCTGGGCTTGGTGAGGGCCCAGGAGGTGAGGCTGGCAGACCCATCACAGCTGGGAGAGGCCCACCGATTTAGACAGTTAATTAGAAGCTGGTATGTGCTGTGCTTGTCCACCCAGCACTCTGGAGGCTGAGGCAGGTGTGTCACAAGTGCCATTCCAGCCTGGGAACCCTAATGATAGAGTGTCTCAATATAAAAAAGAAAAGGGCTGAGTATGTAGCTCAGTAGGAAGCCCTGGGTCAATCCCTAGCACCGACGTAATCTTTTTTTTTTTTTTTTTATTGCGGTTATTGGTACAATGTAGGTATACAATACAATTACATTCATCATTGGGATTCTGTACCTTTACATAATAGGTCTTGATTCTCATTTTTTCCCTTGTCCCTGCCCTCCCTTCACCCCTTCTTCCCCTCCCCATTTACAAACACTTTATTTCCATTTTTTCAGTTTCTCATATTTTTTTCCTCTCCCTTATTACCTTTCCCCCACCCGCCCCACTTTCCTTACACCTTTAACCCTTTATTTCCTATTTCACATTATTAATTATCTCATTAGGATCCTGTGTACTATTATAGTTTTTCACACCAAAGAAACTATTCGGTATTTCAGTTAAAGAAATCTCTGTATGAACACTAAAAATAGGGAATCCTAAAATAAAACTAAAAAGGAA